AGATACGTCTTATAACACTTAAAACATATATTTACGCTTATACTGGTACTCACAAGACGGTAAATATACAAAAGATGGTAAGTGGTGATCTATTTCGATTGGACACTCCAATCATCATCAGACCCAATAGGCGAATGACAAGAATCTTGAATGGCGTCCCTACTTCAAGATTCTTGTCATTCGCCTATTGGGTCTGATGATGATTGGAGTGTCCAATCGAAATAGATCACCACTTACCATCTTTTGTATATTTACCGTCTTGTGAGTAACAGTATAAGCGTAAATATATGTTTTAAGTGTTATAAGACATATATCTTTATTTACTTTCCGTAAATTTAATAACACATACAATGCTGATCAATAAGTTATTTAGTAAACTACATGTCTTGGAAATACTTTGGATACGTATGGGCCTACATAAAGTTGCTATATCAAAACAAATATATATATGTATTATACTATGTCCCCAACGTACCGTGGAGTTAAATGTTTTTCAGTGCGATGTGCTTGATTCAGCATATTGAACGAAAATGTAGTCGAATGAAAAAGAATAAAATGAATAACACTAAAATTATGTCCGTAATCCAAATATCTTATTAATAATTATGAGTGAAAGTAAAAAGTTCTTTTAATTGGATTTGCTTGCTCTACATAACAACATAGCCTAATCAAATTAACATGTTTTACAGGGTCAATTTAATACAATCTGATTACATAAATATATTACTACACGATAAAATAATATTTAAGTAAATATTTCCTTTATAATATTTAAAAGAATGTAATATTGATCGAAATTAATTCTGCTGAACTGTATTTTTCAGATAATCTTCTACATTATTAAAACTCCTGCAGTTAGCAGTAGGCAAGTTTCAGTATGGGTCTGTTTTGAGAACGCTTTATAGGAAATGAAGGCGTTAAAAGATTTAGATTTTAGTGAACGTTGCATTTTACGTGCACTAACATCTGCATCTTTTAACGCCTTAATTTCTCTAAAGAAAATTTAGTGCACCCATTTCAGTAAAAGATTTAATGAATATTTTTATGTTATAAAATTCCTCCTATAAAGATTTGTTAAGAATTAAAAAGTTTGTTCGTTATTCCTTTTATCGAGTTTTTTTTCCATTATTTGTTTCTAAAAATCGAGTATAATTTGTGCATGAAGTGAAATATTAATAATAGTATATGGTTGAGAGACATTTACAAACATTGATAAAAATATAACTATATGATGCTGTATTTTTGAAATGACAAAGAGATTAGTATTAAATAAATTATTTTGTGATTTTATAAAAATTTATATTACCTTATTACCTTATTACCAAAGCTGCGTTGTTGACCAGCATAGCTGGATAAACTGCGTCAATTTTTTAATATAAATATTAATTATTTACAACAAATACAACTTTTATCTTTCAAGAAAATAAATTTGAATGTTTCAAAAATAAAAATAAGAACTTGGCGGGTGACTACGGAGGTGATTTGTGCACTCTATCATTTGTCATCAAAATACTCTCTCACGGAGTAGTATGCTCCTTGAAGAAAGAAGCCTATCTCGTACAACCCTGGCAAACTTTTTTTCTGGAGACTCCTGATCTCTGGGGGGAGCTTGTTGTACAACTTCCAATAAAAAGCAGGAAAACTGCGCTGTGTTCCCGTGAGGCGGAATCTAGGGATGTCAATTTTGCTTCTGCTACGTGTATTATAGCTGTGAACATCTCTCTATATTCAGGCAGAAGTGTTACTATCCTTATCCATCCAGTTGCTTAAAACAATAATAATTGTTCTGTAAAATTATTATTTTTTTTTTTATAATGTATGTTCTGAATTCGTACACACCTTTGATAAACTGTTATCGAACAATAGACTTTTAAACATACCATTCAATGGATTTTATTATTGTTTTAGGATGATGAATAAATTTTCTTCACCAATACACTGGTAAACATTTCAATATTTTTTTTTATTTTAGTTATTTTTCTTGATTTGCATAGTGCAGGTCCCAAAATAATATACCGCTCAATTCGAATAATTTTATTTCCAACCATATGGAATCTTAGTAACTGAACAAATGCAATTTCTCCACTCAGTCATTCTTCTAATAATGCCTAACGTTTAATACAGGTAGGCGAGTATTTGACTTTTGCATCACGTATTTTTATTTGACATTATTATTATTATTATTATTATTATTTGCCCTTGGACATTGACCCACTAGTGGAAAATGGCAGTACAATATTCACGCATGAGTCTTAACGACTCTGATTTCGATTTGTTTGCTGGCCCTCACTCGGTTTTGAAGCGTAGAGGGTACAATGGGAATATAGTAGCATGTCGCAACACTGTTTATCATTAAAGTAGCTTCCAGGACTTTTATAAACTCAAAGAACTGCGAAAACTCATATTACATGTCGATTATACCATTGTTAATAATATTAGACACAGGCTTACTGTAAGTGCGGTTTAAAAGAGTAATGAGTTTAAACACTGCATTAATGCGAAGTTTTGTAATTACCTAACCTTGCTGACTCATTGGCCATGACTATTAACTATGATGATCAATCATAATAATTACTTTAGAGACAAAAAAGCTGATAGTATTTGATGAGTGTCGAAAGGAGTAAGATGATTTATAGTAGCTTTGTTACACATAAAAAAAGTTTCTTTTGTCAAGACTTGCTTGATATCGAAACTCTGTAGAAATGGTTGCTGGCCAGAGATTCCGTCATTAAAGATATAGACGTGTTTTCTTGACCGAACTGCTAAATTATTGATTGTCAGGTAAATACCATAATCAATCTGCTACCCAGAGCATATTGTTTATAATATATTATTGCAATATTACTAAATATGCTATTTTTATTCTAGTTTGAAGATAAAAAAATTATTAAATAGGCTTTACGTGATTTTTCTATTGTGTTAGGTAAACTTTAACTGTTATTTTTATGTTATACCTGTACACTTGTTTGTTAATTATTGTGGAGGAATTTTTTGTCAAATATATGTCACAAATTTATATTCCTTTCGATACAAAATCAGATTATTTGACGAGCTATAATAACTGTACCTTATGTACACAGTAACAACAGATAGGTTGCTTGGGAAACATATTTCCTACATGTTCTATTTAGGCCTAAGTGAATGTTAGAATTTTCTAGGTAATTTATAACTTCTTAACTATGTAGTTCCAATTACCATAATTAAACTACCAAAGTTGTCTGTGTAGAAATATTCTATTGTTAAATAAAACGTGGCTAATTCTAAATCCTTTACAAAAAACATTGATGTTTTTGTAAACAAATTGTTTTCATAGTTTCATTGACATAGTTCTTATACTTATATTGTAATATAATGGTGTTAGGAATTCATACACACTCTACTGTACTGGTGGTAGACACTGTATGTCGTAATTTAATATAGGTAGTAGAAACATTAGGTATTATTTATTTATTTATTTATACATGCCAACGGCTAAGCCAATTCATAAATGAAAAAACAAACAAAAATAATTCAATCTATACTATTATAAAGAAGAGGTGGTGTCTGTGTGTGTGTTTGTATGAGCTAATCTCAAAAACTACTGGTCGGATCGGGCTGAAATTTGGCATGATGATAGCTCACATTCCCGATTAACATATAGGCATATTTTTATCCCAAAAAATCCTTCGGGGCTCCGCCCCAGTGGCTCTGGAGTTTCCCATGTTAACCTTATGAGAAATGGAATTAATGAATCTTAACAGCTGTTTCAATTAAACAAGTTGGTTATGTTCTATGATGTTCAATAGCATTAAAAGTTACAAGGATTACCAACAGGGTGCAGCACTAGCACTATTATTTCTTTTACATTTATGACAACAGCAAAAGGTGAGTGAGCGTAGCGAACGAACTTCAACCTGGAGGCGAGTGAGCGTAGCGAACGAGCTAACCTGAAGGCAAGTGAGCGTAGCGAACGAGCTAACCTGAAGGAAAGTGAGCGCAGCGAACGAGCTCCAACCTAAAGGTGAGTGAGCGTAGCGAACGAACTTCAAAAAGAACCGAAATTTCTTAAACCATGTCCTCACTCATAACTGCTATAAGCATTTGATACTTATATGCCAACCCCGTACGAAGGACGGGTACTCTGCTAGTACTCAATAGAATACAAAGTACATAGAGGAAAAAAAACAAGCTGAACAGTACAATACTCAATAGCATTGACCTATAGTATATATATAGTATTGATTGGTAGTATAGTGTTGATTGGTAGTATAGTATTGATTGATGGTATTGACCTTAATTATTGTGTGATAGCATAGATATTATAGTTATATACGTACTTCAGGTAGTAGGGTAAACTGTAGCATGAAGGTGATATCATAGATGAAACATACAACCTTAGTAGATTTCTCATCCTAATGGAACAGCTGAAGACAATTTTATTGTTAGTTCTGTACGGTTTATGTAGGGGTAATGTTTTGTTTACAATTTGTTTCCCGTTAATACAGTCATTTAAAACCTCGTTTAGCCAAATAATACGATCTCATCATAAACAATAAATTGTCCCCTAGTTATTTAACCAAACAGTAAAGCACAAATCAAGAAATTAACCCTAAAATAATAGAAACAAAATTTCGTCGACACTAGCGCCCAGTGTGGCGTACATGAACTAGACATGAAAAACGAGCTTCAAAATTTACAATGGGATGAGAAGTCTACTTGTGTTGGTTAGTCTATGGTGATATGTACTTTAGATATTGTGTCCAATAGGCTAAATAGTATCAACATCAACAGCTATAGTTAAATCAGTGGGAGTTATGTAGATTAGGCTGTAGGTAAAATGTGTAATGGCTACTCTAGGTAGAAGGTAGTATCTTTGACTATTCCAATAGTCAGTGGTAGTATGAATGGTGGATGGTTCATACAATAAAGGACTTTTTCTTGAAAAACCTTACTTAGTCATTAAACAACTCCTCGTCCCTTGAAATATGGCAAATTTTATTACAAAAAAAAAGGAAATTGAGTCTTTTGACTAAAAACGTTTATTCAACAATCAACAATTATTATTAACTTAATTTGTCTCTACTCCGGAAAGAGTTCATCTCTAGGGAACATCGTGTACACCCTGTTGGCCAAGTCTTTGATCAAAGTGCCAAACGCCTCTTCAGGCAAACTTCTGTAGATCCTGAAGGCTTCTTTCCAATTCTCGTTCAGGAAATGGTTAGTGGCCTCTCCTGGAATAATTTATGTCATATTTAAGTTTTTCCTTACATGTACTCATTGCATGTTAATTTAGGTCTTCCGCTTTTACATTTTAAACAAGGCTGCTGAACTGTTTTCTTTCTGCCCTTTTCACTTACACATGGGCATCAAACTATAACTTCTGTCTGCTTAAAACCATCATTGTACACAGTTTAAAGACAGTATAGATGTTTAAAGTGGGTCTGATTGGATAGTGTGCGTTTTACTATATTTAAATTTTTAGCTAGGACTTACGATATACAGCATATAATAAAACATCTAGTTTAATTCTGTTTGAAAATTTGTAATCATAAATTTGAGACTAAAACCATAATTAGACAAACAATGTTATAGGAAGAAATACGAAAAGAAGTACTTATGACATTAGCTATAATAGTGCAGTAGCAATGGTTTGGTAATTAGTTCTTAAGTAGCCTTAAGTATTGTAACAATAAATAAGATTTCCTCTCAAAGGTTTTCCTAATAATTTAACAGAGAATCTCAAAATAAACAAACTCAACATTTGTTTACAAATTTAGATACACTTTTACATAAAACTGTGTGGTACCAAAGAGTCAAGTGCAATCTCAAACTGCATGGATTTGAGATCTTTTCCATTGAGGATTTGTTTTTGAGTACGTTGCAAAAATATTCGTCCTATTTACCCTCAGAAGAGCTATGTAACAAATTACCTATTTATTTTATATGCGTGCCAAATTACAGGTTATACGGCTTAGTTTTATTATTTTAACAATCAACATACAGCATTATTAATTTTGTAATTAATACTGGCATGTCAATACAGTCAGCCCTACAATAAATATAGGTTTTTCTACCTTGAGAATATGGCCGTGTAAGTTTATACCTACCTAATGTTTTGTCCCCATTGAAGAGGTTGGTGAAGTGGAACTTGGCGTTGGCAGGTTCAATCCTCCACCTAAGGCTTTTAACTCTGTTATAATCGACCCCATCCCTGGTCACCACCTCGTTCTCCATCCAAGCTGTAGTCGTCACATCAGCTGTAGGTATAAACAAAACTTCAAATCAAAATGTTCTTAAATATTTTAGATATCATATACTAGATATCATACACACAGGTGTATTTTATGATACAGGTGTATTTTAACTTGTTGAATAAAATCATTGCTACAGCTAAATCCTTTAATCCTTTTCCTTTTATTCCTTTTTTAAATCCTTTTGGCTTGAAAGTTTAAATATACCCTGCCCAAAGATGGATAACTGCAAAGCATTCGAAACTCTTGTCCAACTAAGCAGTGATCTCCCGAAGGCTAAATTCCATTTTGACCATTGGAAGCCCACCGTCTTATTAATGTATTGCAAATAATAGGCTGTAATGATAAGAACGCCAAAATATACATATGTAATCTAATCAGTAAAGTATGAGCAAAAGGTTAATTGAGTTTTATTACTTGTATTAAACGTTAGCAATACATAATATGTTACATAAATTATACCCTACTTAACATTGGTGTATATTTCTTGTTGATATGGTTTCTATTGTACAGTTCTTGCAGCAAGTTAGGTATATAGTTCATTGACATTCTTATTGTTTTGCTTTCAGTAGACAACCAATCCCCTGCAGAAAGAAATTTACTTGATATTTAAAAAATATAAAATTATTTAAATAACCTTTTTTGTATTTAAAATGTGTTAACAGATGGGGGGGGGCTTTAAACTTATCACTCCTGTTGTATAATCCCGTCACAAAAACCATCCATCCGATATTAGGGCTTAATTCAGATTTTTAGTGTGATAAAACTACATGTCCCCAAAATAATTCAAAGAGTGTATTTATTACAATTTAGCATAATATCCAGGTTTGACTCTTAACTCACTGAAGTTGAAGAGTGCTCGTCCTTTCCCTTTCAAATCAATCACCATCATTCTCCCAGCCATGTCGTAGTCTCCATCAAAGTCAATTGTCTTTGTGAAACACTTAATTGTGATCAGGTTTTTGTCCATGTCCACCCTGAAAATGAAAAATAAACCTGTAAATTAGTTAGATGAATGAAAAAAAAATACTGTGCCAGGGTTGAATATGTTTGAATTTGTTTTAATATATGTATATATGTATCTATGTTTGTATGATTTAATGTACTTCTTTTGACCTAGCCTTTACCCTTCCAAATGCGCTTCAGACATGTGCCTGGACGTGTTAAATATAAAGGGGTAGTACTCGAAGAAAATGTATTTGTATATTTGTGGGGGCAATGGAGTGAACTACTGACGACTCCGATTCTTTGCTTCAATAGTTCGTCGCATTACCAAATGGACCACCAACTTACCAAAACACATAACATTGAATAAATACAACTATTGTTTCTGACCATGAAACTTCAAAATATTTTAAATACTTTAAGCTGTTTTAAATGTGTGTAATGAATCACTGTTCAAAGGTTTAATTGCTTAAACTTGCTTAGGTTAAAGTTGCCTTTTGGAAGGAAATTCCTTGTAGAAATATTTTCACAGGACCGCCCTAGTACTAACTATAAAGGTAGTATTAAAGCCAGTAAACCCCCCCCCCTTATTATAGTCCATTCTAATTATATACAAATTACGGGTTCCTTTTAGTTTGTTGTTGACAATAATAAAACATTTAAAGGGGGATCAGCTATAGATGTCTATAAATAAATGAATGTATTGAAATAGGCACGTCTCTTTGAAGCGTTTGTGAACCTTCTCTATCATTACACACATTTTTGTTACATCAAAACGTTCCAATCTAGTTTAAAGCTTAATAGTTATACAGTAGAACTAACTGTTCTTACCTTTTATCAGTGTTTACCTTCAAACTAAGGTACTAATTTTTTTTCCTTATTTCATTTTATATTTTAAGAGTACGTCAAAGGCTATAAACACATTGAAGATGTTAAAAGTCAAACGTTTTTACTCACGTTAGATTCTTTATTTGGAAATTTCTCAGCCCATAAATATTTAAGTCTGTAAGGGTTTGGCGGAATTTAAAGTTTCCATGACCATCCTTCATTTCCAGTTTGGGTACAAAGAGTGGATCTAGAGGTACTAGGTGAAGCTCGGGTATTCCTGAAAATAAATGGTAAATAAAGTAATGTATAAAATATGGACTGGGATCTAAATTTTGTGAGTCTTTTTGTGGAAAAGTATCTTTATGTACACCAAATCTTTGCCATATTTCACGAGCCTGGTTTTCGTGTTAATCAAAACCATTTCGATAATTAAATTAAAATAACGTTACCCAAAAAAAAATCAATTTTAAATTAAATGTATCTCAATTGATTTGTATTAATGTCTTTTCACATGTAAATGAGAATTCACTTTTATCACGTTACTTCAACCTGAGTAATCCACCGTTTATTCATGTCGACATCTATAAACTTAAAAGAGTTGACCAAATTAAGGATTTAGGAGTTACTTTTGACTCGTATCTAAGATTTGATAAACACGTTGAATTGATTATTAATCAGTCGTATAGAATGTTAGGTTTTATAATTAGAAATACCAAGAATTTCAGAACTATTGACCCCATTATTAGATTGTTTTACTCATTTGTTAGAAGTAAGCTGGAATATTGTGTTTTAGTTTGGTTTCCTTTCAACTCATACCACAAAAATGCAATAGAAATTCTCCAAAATAAATTTCTACGATACTTGTTTTTAAAAAGGTATAATCAGAGATGTGACTGGCATATGTCAACTGATTCATTGAGAGGATTGTTTGATTTCCAAAGCCTTACATTAAGAAGGGAAGTTTTAGCATTGATTTTTCTGTATAAAATCCTAAATAACAAAGTTGATAGTTTGTTTTTGTTGAGTAAGATTGCTTTTTATGTTCCTCGTAATAATTCAAGGTCGTCAATTTTATTTTATATCCCTCGTTGTAACACTGTTCAATTTTACAGTTTTTCACTTTTTACAGGCTTACGTTTATTAAATGTCCACAATAGTAAAATAGATGTTTTTTCTGACACTATTAAGCAGTTTAAATTTAAGATAAACGCTTTGCTTACGTAATGTAATCCATCCCTTTAGATTTGCAGCCAAAATAAGTGAAATTTCCAACAACGTTGTCCATTTTTATTAACTTGTATTCACTCTTTTTACTATTATCATCACTGGTTTTGTATTGTCCATTTATGTGCACTTTTTGTAATTTTTTTGTTATTCACTTTATGTATTAATATTGTATTATTTGTCATTATAGCTGTTTTGGGTTTATACCTGTAGCTATTGTAAATTGTTTATAAATAAATAAATAAATATACTATACCCAAAGTTCTTATTGCATTTCTTTATTTTAATGAACTAAACTTTTTAAATAAGTGCTAAAATGCGTTTAATCGAGCAACACTCACAGTACGGACGAAAAAAACAGCACAATATCATAGACTAAGGTACGAATAATGTAAGATTTTCTCATTTCCCTCCTAATGGCCGTATCAAGCTTTGAAGTATAGTTAGCCTACATTTAAGTTACCAAATAACTTACAGCTAATTTATCACGTTGTTCAAAAGTTTGACAACTTTAAATATCTTGTATATAATCATTTCCACTAAACGACTGCCTGAACGCTTTAGTAACACAACCAACAGCTCATAGGAGACCAGAGTAGACGATGAAGTTATTTAATCAAAGTAAATGTAATCTTTGTTGAGGTTACTAGCGTCACGTTTCAGTCGTCTTCGAGACGTGCGTAGCGGATCATGGTAATTGTGATTACAAAATACACTTACTGAATGTTTCGAAGCAACGCAGCTTGTTGTAATGAACAAGAGTGGGTCACTGTAAGTTGTAAAGTCAAGAGAGTAGAAATACACGGTTATTTTGCATCTTAGTTCACTGTTTTTGCATGTATGTGTCTAGATATTTGCTATTTTTAAAAACGTCATTGGTATAAATGATTTTGACAACTTGTGAACTGTTGCATTGCTCACAATAAACTTCTTTAAACATGAGATTACCCAAAGAGATTATAATAAACAAAACTAGCCTATCAGTCTTGTAAAGATTCGTTATTAGTATTTAGTCATTATCTGCAACCTACATTTTCATGCATATTTTAAGACGAATATAAATGTGAAGTAACCACAGAATTGAGGGAAATGATCAGTTCAGCTTCTGTTACTGACATCCGCAGTTTCTTCAACAAGGAAATATTATAAATTAAAAACAGATGATCAATAATATCAGCTCGGCCACTATCAATTCATCGGAAAAGCTTAAGGTTTGACTCGGGGTCAAGTAGGCAATCCTATGACTGCCAGGTAAGTATTGTGACCACCACCTATTGAGGTAATATGTTTGGTGTATGCTTATAGTTTATTGTAATTTTCTAGAAGAGGCAAGGAATAGAAGATGATAGGAGACAAAAACCCTTTTAGGTTTTTAGTGGCCACCGATGTAAAATAAGATACGGTAAGTGATAGTACGAAATGGAAGGTGATATGTAGCTACTGTATTTTAAACCAGTAACCAGTGTGTGTGAATATACAGCCAATCTCACTTCTGGGCTTTTGAAATGGACAAAACCACTGTTTTATTGTAAAATTATCGGATATACCATTTCGTATGGACCTATAATCGGATGAAAGAAATTGGTGGTAACGTGATATTTGTTTACAAGATCATTTTCCCTATTAAAACTGCCAGATTTTTTCCGTTATGTGTGTAAACTAGCTGTTCTGAATTATATTCAGTTTAAATCGCCTACATGACTGTAGGACGGGCCAACAGCTCGTAGTAGTACCTGGTTCAAAGCTGCGTTACTGTCCAAGAAAAAAAAACAGATACTTTTGAAAACGTCCATTTAAAACGGAAATAATTATATCGTTTACGTCTAGTATATTCACAAAATTAGATACACTTGTCTTTTCCATGGACGTATTAAAATAGTTTAGTTAGGAAATAAACTATAATTTATGTATACAAACCTTTCACTAATTTTGGACGGAGGGTTTCAATGCTCTTTTTGATACATTGCGCCAAATCTGGGTCACTCTTGTGGCAAATGGGGAAATACTCAGAAGCTGAAACATGAGGCATTTACAGTGAAAAAAATAATAGTATGTACATTGTATACCGTACTCATTTAGAGCATTAGTGAAAAATAGCTTTGGTATAAAGTGCTAAAATGAGGTGATCTTAATATAGTTCTGATATAATAGGCATTTGAATCCACTACAGTGTAGGAAGTTTCAATGTTAGATAAGGTTGCAGCTTTCATAAAAATACTATTCTACTTTAATGTGTCTAAGAGTAGTTATTTATATTAGACATTGTACTATGAGGTTTCTATTAATCTTTTAAGGGTTGTGCAATCAATACATTTAATCATTGAAAAATAATCGTTGCATCATTATCGTTACAATTTGTTTAATCATAAATTGTTGATTCAACATGGGATTTTTTTATCTACAGTTCTAGAACAAAGAAATAAAATTGCTCTTGGTTTCAGCTTTTTTTATCTTAGTTTATTTACTAGTTTAGGCTTTTTCCAATTATTACTAGACCTATCAATTAATTGAAGTCAAAAGCGAAACGCGCTCCAAAGCTGTGTACTTCAAAACCTGTGTTCCTAAGAGCATAGACTAATGTTGTACAATAATTACTTGTTTGGTAAAGCTAGGCTGGATATCAGATTTACATAAATCTTACTAATATTATAAATTTGAAAGTTTGTGTGTTTGTTTGTTTGAAGTTCAATCACGCATAAACCACTGGACGGATTGGGCTGAAATTTGGCATGATGATAGCTTACATTCCCGATTAACAATAGGCATATTCTTATCTCAAAAATCCTTTCGGGCTCCGCCCCAGTGGCTCTGTAATTCCAATTCCCCATGTTAACCTTATGAGTATTCATATTTAAAGGGAATTAAAGAATTTAGTCAGCTGTTTCAACTAAACAAGTTGGTTCTATGATATGGAAAAGCATTAAAAAGTTATAAGATTTACCAAAAGAGTGCAGCACTATATTCTTTTGCATTTATGAAAACAGCCAATTTGATTGAACTAAGCTGCAACAAAAAACTGTGATTCGCAATGAGAACTGTCAAAGTAGGATTGTTTACAGTTATGTTTATGTTTTTTATTTCATGAATAATTTGTGATATTTTGCGAATTGTTAATAATTTATTTTTATCTATTGTTTAGGTGAAGTGGTAGAAAAAACATTATGGCTATGGTAGATGTGTAATACTATAGAATACTGTAAATTTAAAAAGCAAATTTTATCAAACTGTGTTCTCCCTTATTGCAAACGCAAAGCTTGAGTATAACTGCAACAAGCATTTTATACTTACATTCCAACCCCGTACGAAGGACGGGTACTCTGCTAGTATGTAATAAATTCATAAAGAATGAGGTGGGTTCAAAATAAATTATCAAGTTAATTAATTTATTTCAGCAATTAGAATCAGGTTTTCACAAACATTCACTTTAGGAAAATAATTAATAATAATAAAGCATAGCAATTACTTTATTTTTATTAGATAACAACTAAAATTTTAATATAAATGGCATAAAATAATTATAATGAGTAGTTAAGCCAGCTAAACAGAAGGCAGTCGTTAAATAATACCTAGCCTATTTTTGCCTTTTGTAGTTTTAAATTTATCAATTCGGCTTAGGATAATTTGTTGAGTATCCATTACAAATAACAATATTTAACGATTTAATAAATTATTTCACCTATAAGGGCGAAGTAACTAACTAGTTAGTAAATGGATTAAACTCTATGCTCAAATAAACTTTGATTCTTAAGCCCATGCAGTAAGTAAAACAAGACAAATCTAAAAGCAACTACTAAAAGAGTAAATAAGGAGATCATAACCTGGTTTGATGGTTGAGACTTCCAACGCCAGGGCCAGGATCAAGAGCACGGCCCAGGTCATGTTAGCAGTGCGGCAGTCAGAACAACACTGGCCCAAGGACACTGCCCTGAGGAACCCCACTTGATACGCCCATGATATCGCGGATTTGTCTACTTAATGTAACTTTAATTTTGACTTAAGTGCTTTGTGTTGATGTGATGTGACCATATATCATATTTATGTACTGTAGTTACGATACATATAAATAATTACTGTATTATGGAAATGATTCATCACGATGAGAAAAAGGTGGTTTCACGATGTTTCAGAATCTTGAGTATGATATTGTTCTAAAACTTGCAAGTAGCTAAAACATACCAAATGAGCAAACTTAGCCAAATGATCAAGCTGAAAATCACAAAAGAAAAACCATACAAACAACTGTATAGAAGTTAACACATGGAACAGTAAATGGGGTATTTAAAGGGGGATTAGAAAAAAAAATATTCTTAAGCGTTCTTGTTATTTTTTGTGAAAGAAGTGACCATTTTTAAGAAAGATAATCATATATGGCCGAAAATAAGGACATCAATTAATAAACCTAGGCCTCATTGTCTTGCTCGTTAAGAAGACCAGTGCATTTTAAAACAATATCTACGTTACATTAAAAATCGAAATAACCACTTTCGGGTAAACTAGTTACTTTCAAAATTGGTCTCAATGTGATACTTAATTACATGTTGAATCATGCATAACCCGCTTCAAAAAATGAATGCGGTTCTAATTTATTTCGTCTATGGGTTACGAATAGTATTTTAAACTCAAATTATGTCCATAATAAGCACATCTAAATTCCCTGTTTTTGTTATATAAGCCACATATATTAGGCCACGTAAATATCATTTCCCCATTCAACCTCAAGTTCAATGGTGTTCCAGATATACCTCGATGTTGCAACAATTTAAGTGAGCAATTATACTAACAAAGGAACAATAGCAATAGGGGGCCAGAGCTCTCGAGTATAAAGCAATACTGTAGCGCGTGTATCAGCCAACCTGTGTTTTCTGTTAAAACCAATCTGTACAATCTTACAAAAAGGTTAACGTTAGACAGAAACAAGACCAGGGTTTGGACCTTTTTTATTTTAAAAAGGAAAAAAATTGCGTATGAAACACACAACGATACGAGACAAATGGCACCACATTTACATATTTCTTTACTAAGCTTAGCCAATCAATGTCACGACATACTTGAATTGCTACTATGTAATTATCAGGAAAATATTAGGTACCAATAGATTTTTTTAGGAATAAATATTTATTGCAGTTATTTTGTACGTACCTTTATTTGGTCAATTTATATTTTCCCATCAAAGCATAGTACAATTATTGAGTTAATCTGTGGTCAAAATAGACTGTAAAATAAGTAAATGCCAATACCAATATTATTTTCAAGCTGTGCATTTACTGAAATCTAAGATCTGGCAACCTAGTTGTTAAAGGGAAAAACCTTTGACTAATAATGTATCCAATAGTCAATGGAAAAACTCTAGGTAAATTTAATAAAACAATGTAAAGCTGAAAACCATATGTTTTCAGTATATTGTTGAAAACACGACTTGCGATGACAAACATACAATGTATGTCTGTAAAGTTGATATATATTTCATTTACTTGAAAAATCGTATTTTTAGAATCATTGCAAAACGAATATAAAATAAACCATCCATAACATTTTATTGAATTGCCAAAATACAAAGCTAATAATAACAAGAAGAAAATTTGTGGTCCAAAATTTGCCAAAATAATTAAACTATCAATGCAAAATTAAAATCTCTACATTAACCAACAACGAATATATTTATTTAGTTTAAAAATATTCAAATGAAATAAATGAAAAAGAGTATTAACATTAATATAACAATTTTGTAAACGTGTTCGAATTCTGCTTCAGGACATATTATGTGGTAATAGCATTGATCATAATAATCAAAAGTTAAATTCATCTATATAAATAAAATTAGAGTTTTTTCTGTACATTGCTCAGAATCATAAACTTTTAGGTTATTTTTACGTTTTATACATTAGAGAAACCGAAACAAGTCTCATCTAAATTTCTGTCTGTCTTCATGTCTGTTACGACCCAAGAGCCATTTTACGCGGCCTACTCCTGAAAAACGAGAGTACCTATCAAGTTCCAAATCATTTTAATGTATTCACTGGATTGGCGAAATTGTCTTTAGCCATTAAAATATAGCGTCACCACTTTGTAAATAAAATAACGGACGTTTAAAAACCCAATTTTGTGCGATTTTTTGTAAAGTTTAGCACATATATTCTTCTATGAAATAACGAACAGCTGTTCAAATCAAGATTATTTCTTGTAGCTGTCACTGATATGTTTACATTTAATGTTGTTTACAAATACCGCAACCATTTTCGATCACGTTTTGAAAGCAAATCCAAACCAATTAAGATTAAAAACGTTTTTCCTTACATAACGGATTTAATTAATCGCAAGTGCAATAATATGTAGGGTAACAGTAAATGAAAATAGATATTATTTGTGTTTAAAATTGTTCTTGAGTTTTGATAACCGGGAAATAGACCTTGAATCAATGTTGTATATTGCTGGGAAACTTACATTTTTTAAATGAGCGTTTTCAGTCGAGACTCGGCACACGGCCGACGCGCGTCTAACTTGTCTATAGTAAAAATAAAAGTAGGTCTACTGTGTATTTATGTTTTATTCGTCATGTGTATAAGTGTACAGTTCGTGTATGTGTTTCAAAAACTCCAAGACGCACCTAATGGGGAAGCTAATGGGGAGCGCACCTTTGGGACTAATGATGGCGATTTAATTTCGCCGAAATGCATCTCCTGTAAAGCTGGGTTTTCCTAGACGCGGAGTCGGCCAGCGGAGAGCGGACAACGGAGAGCGGAATTGAAATTAACATGGCATTCCGCTCCGCTGCTAGGAAAACAGTAACATTAAATAGCCTAAGACAAGCTGAGTCCGCTCTCCGTTGTCCGCTCTCCGCTGGCCGACTCCGCGTCTAGGAAAACCCAGCTTTATAGGATACATTAGGATCGACCAGCGGACACAGGTAATTTAGCCTTTTATTGATTGTCATACCGATCCGGAACAACAACAAACGACATAAAATGAAGTTATGTATAATAAATAGTTTGGCCAGCATATCTGAAAATATGCAAACCAACTGCTGTTCTTATCATCTGTTCTTATTATCCAATAAGAAGGTTTCAACTGATTACTATAAGATCCCCGTGCGTAGAACGGGTACACAGCTAGTAATAAATAAATTAAAGTTGAGTATTTTTTTTAATAGTTGTTTAGCATCCGGATTACTGTATTATACTTAAAATGGTTTACAATACCTGCATATAGTAATCCTTTGTTGCTGATTTAAGCAACTAGTTTCGGTTCTTGTTTTGAACCATCTTCAGGCCTCAAGGCGTCAAGTGATCACTTCATTCGAAGGTCGTTAAGAGAGTTCAATAAATAAAACATATACAAAACACGATACACGGAACGGACACACATTACAAAAAACACGAAAAACACGAAGGGACATTGACAATCGATCGTGACCGGGCTGAGGTAAAGTCTAGACTGGAGACTTTGATACGTCTTAAGAGTCTAGACTTTACCTCAGCCCGGTCACGATCGATTGTCAATGTCCCTTCGTGTTTTTCGTGTTTTTTATAATGTGTGTCCGTTCCGTGTATCGTGTCTTGTATATGTTTTATTTATTGAACTCTGTTAACGACCTTCGAATGAAGTGATCACTTGACACCTTGAGGCCTGAAGATGGTTCAAAACAAGAACCGAAACTAGTTGCCTAAATCAGCAACAAAGGATTACTATATGCAGGTATTGTAAACCATTTTAAGTATTTATTTTTATTTTGTGTTTTAACTAGGCAACTTGTCCAACTGACGCAGATAATCAAGTAAGCTGACCTCAGTGCAAGGTAATTGGCTGTTTACCCTGACATACTGGAACTAACTTCCTTCTTTAACTGCATTTCCATATTTACGTTCTCTCCACGCTTTTTATTACACATTCTGGTGGAATGGAGCTAAACTACCAAGGCCAATTTACAAATTCTGCTTCTTAAATTTTTGTCTCGTACACTATATTTATTTACAAATTTCATATGTCTTAAACATATTGCAACATATTACCTTTGATGGCAATAAAGCAATTGAGAAGACGCTAATCTAATAACTTTTGTATATGATCTTTAACTTCAAGTCTAAATAAAATGTAACCGCTCGACATAACTAAGTTTTAACCTCCTTTTCCAATCGTCCGTTAGATAGTGTTCGTTTTGTTGCAAAAAATAGATAAAGTAGCTTATCTAGTTTTACCAACATTCAAAATGTTTCACTAGACTACTAGCGATAGTTTACCCTTAGCTAATCGTAAATATATTTCGGCAGAGATAGATAATCGGCCTTATACGATTAAAAGAGAGTTATCTTGCCATTCAAACACATTACATTAGAATATATCCAATATCTATTTTGTAAATTTATTTTTTCTTATTTATAACTTTACGAATTTTTGTTCATTTGTCTGATATGATAGACCATAAAATATGTTAGCTCTTAGTACTCCAACTTTTGGGTAAAGAGTTGGTAAAAGGATACTTTCAACATTATTTGTGTGGCATTAAAATATTGTTATACATACTGTATATTAATCTCGAGTCTTAAGAAATTAGAAAGAAACATTTGAATCTTTTATGCGGAATATAGAAGGTTTAAACCCTCCGTGCAGAGAAATTGTCTTAACAATAAATTACAATGTAAACTTTGCAAACTAATGTTCCTCAGATTTAACTTGGCTAGTCTAAATTATTATGTTACAACCGTAGATTTTGTAACATTTTTACTGTGATTTATTTTTACCTCCAAATGGTTGCTATCCATATTTATTCATCTTATAATGGAATTATGACTACCGGGGAATACAATTAAACTCATTGTCTGATAAAAAAGAATAGGTAGAATCGAGGAAATTTCTTATTTTATAATTTTTTATTTAATATAAATCTACATTTTCTTATTTCAAATTTATTTCATATTGTAGGTATTT